AGTGTGCAATAAGTAGTGCAAATAAAAGTATTTATACAAACCATGTTACTAGTATTGACATTGTTTTCTAGCTTAAACTTTTTGTGAAGTCCAAGCTGTTCTGCTTCAGCAAGTTTATCTTCAGACATGGTGATAACAAAGCGTACGGTTGTGTCAGTATGGTATTCTTTATAATCCCTGCAATGTGAATCATCAGAAAAKATCTKTTATTAGGGACWGGTCAATTTGGGACTATTCACTTAGGGACTGATCATTAAGGGACTGACCATTTAGGGACTGGTCATGCAAGATAACTATGTAGGGGCGAGAGGGGAGGGGAGAGATAAGCAMAGGCTTAGACACCCCTACTTTTGAATTGAGCACAAAAAAACATTAATGTAATGGAATATACCATGTGCTTACAGAAYAGATGGTTGCACTTTCTCTGTTCCATGAAGCATGGGTTCTAATACAGTCTCTTTGTAGGTCTGTGTCCAGGAATGAATAGGCAACTCAGAGATTTCCAATGTCTTAGAATCTAGCACTTCAATGATACCCTTTGTAACATATTTACACGGTTCTGTCTGGATAATTTCTCCTTTGAAGTTCTTGAAACTTGGTGTCTAGTGAAAGAAAGTTTAAACTTTCAGAATAAACCTATTTGATAACATTGGTAATAATTGAGGAAGAACAGAGCATTTCAGCAGTCAACAAAACCCAATTCTGTTGCAGACCCAGCAATATTTCATAAATGGAATTGCAGCATTAACAGATCAAATTATTTGTTACTTCTTTGAATTAAGCAATGTTTGCAGATGAAAGTTCAATTTATAGTTCTCTAAAGCGCCTAGTCTTTTTGCAGCCTGCCATTTTATTGAGCTTCCTGTAAGTAGGCTGTGAAGGAGACTGTTAAGGGGGATGGAACCCCATACCCCTTTTTATCTTTCCCCCTCATGTTTAGCTTATCCCTAGATAATATACAGTATCTGAGAACAAATTTTCACCATCGCCTTGCTGCACATCTAACACAAACTAGATTGATGAACATACCATATTCTCTGGCTCTTGTCCCTCAATCATTCTCTTGATGTTCTTGGCAATTTCTCTCACATCATGGTTAGGTATCTTAGTACTATATCCAGTACCAATGCCTTCAATRCCATTCATCAATACAACAGGTAGGATAGGGCAGTACCATTCTGGTTCAATTCTTTGATTATCATCAAACAACCACTTCAAACATGGGTTGTCTAGTGGGTTGTACAATAGAGTTGTCAACGGGCTGAGCATTGTGAAGATGTAACGAGGGCTAGCTGCATCTTTGCCACCATGTAATCGAGTACCAAACTGGCCAACAGGTTGWAGAAGATTYACATTGTTGCTACCAACAAAGTTCTGAGCCAAGTTGATGATTGTTCCCATTAGACTAGTCTAAATGCAAACACCATAAGTCAGGATTTAGAAAGAAATAGGATAAGAAAATATCAATCTTCCTTTCACATGACACCATGGGATCTATCAAACCTGAAATTCTTCAAAATAATGACCCTAACATATGCTTGTCAGGCCAATATAAAACCATATGAAATCTTACATCATAACTGAGCTATGTATTTAGATACACATGCTAGAAGATGAATAAGTTCACAAAATCTAAATGTGCAGATTTAAGCAACTGATTTCAGATGCCATGTTTAGTACAGTGTATCATTAATTTTGGTGGAAAACATGTGTGATAAATCCTTATCAATAATAATTTATGAAAGACAGTGTCAAGAAATAGCCAATAGAAGCTTACTTCACCATGATGATAGGCTGATAATTCAGCAATAGAACCTGCTAACTGAGCGACTTTGACTTCTCGCTTATCATTACGCTTTAGGCAAGTGAATAGAACTTTTCTCTGACCTGGTTTGAGTCCTAGAAGAACAAGAAACATTACAGCTTTGAGGTCAATACTTCAAAAAAAATACCACCGACACTGATATTAAATCTATTAATCTTCACTACTATGTCGTAAATGAGAGAAGATACTTATCAAGTCATGAGGTCTTATAGAACACATACCATCAACCAGAGAGGGGATAGACCGTTCATTATCAGTGTTAGAGAATAGGATTAATTCCTTATTGATAAAATCAGCATAGGAGACAGACTTAGTATCCTTCTCATACAAGTAGACCTAGAAAAAAGGCGAAAAAATAAAAGTAACACAAAATAATTATAGTAAAATTTCTGTGTGTGTAGTGGGTTACTGAGAATTTGTGCTCACCTCAGACAGCCCTTGCTCTCTCCTCCACTTTCTTTCTTCCATACCACGACTCAGCCAATCTTTTCTGTCTTGAATTTTCTTCTTGCTGAAAGCCTAACAATAATAAAAAACATTTGAATTTGATTGCTGTTTTGATATATTGCTACTAATCAATAGACACTCTAATCCCATGCTTTCAAAGGMATCCTTAGCAAATCCTGATTGGAAGACAGGAAATCTCTATGGGTCAATCATGGAAGAACAGTTTGTATGCATCAATGTCCATGGTTGTGGATAGCATTTCAAAGAAACTGGCTTTGCTKAACAGAGACATACTAAATCCTAGCCCTTGATTTTCCCTAGTGTTTCTTACCATMACAATAGACTCATCATCATGTGCTCCTTCATAGTGAAAGTCAATCTTGTGCCTCTCCATGTCAGCAAAGTATTCTTTGGCTTCTTTAGGAGTACTGGTACCCAACCCCTTATAGTACTTTATCTTCCAGGACTGGTGATTTGGTGTTTCAGACTTCCACTCTTCAAACTCAGGAATACTGTAGAATGAGATTTCTTGTTTTCCTTTAGATACC